GGGCGCCAGCCGTACCGCTTTCCATCTTTCAAACGTCGTCGGCGCCGCAGCGCCCGTCCTTCGCCATGTTCAACACGATCGGGCGCGTCTCGGCGGCCCCGCCCGCCCGTCGCGACTGCCGCCACCCAGTGCACAACGACCATGACGACGACGACGACGACGATGTCAACATTCCCGTGCTCGAGACGTCGTGTGACATTCTCTTCGACTCGGACCGGAGCTCGACCGCAGCCTTCCAGTTCCACGTCGAAGGCATCCACAACGAGGTGACGACCCCGTAGGTATCTTTTCTTCTAATTTATGCGTCCTGTCTTCCCTCTTCGAAACGTCGCGTTGGGCCATTCTCACATCTAGCATGCGACGCGTCATTCTCGCCGCCACAGCTGTCGCCCTCGTCGTTGCGTCGGATCGGAACCTTCGGCGGCCGCCCCCGAACGCCCCCGTGTTCCTCGACCACGTCCCGATGCGCCCGCCACTCGCTGCCATGGCCGTCGCGTTCGAGTCGGTCGCCGACAAGGATGCATGGGCTCGCAGTGTAGAGTTTGTCGCGGAGCCACGGGCTCCGCCGCCGTGATGCGCTCTTCTCGTCCTCGTCCTTTTCCGTCGTAGCTGTGGTCGTACTAGGAGGAGATGGATCCATCTGTAATGTACAGCAACTATCAGTACATCTTGTCGTATCACTTTGCACTTAGTGAGTGAGTGATCTTTGACCGAAAGGGCAATCTCAGAGCGCTAATTATACAGGCGTCGAAACCCTCGGTAGGGTCAAATTAACGCGCCATGTCGCGGGTCCAGTCGCTTCTTAACCGCATCGTCGAGCACGCCGGCGACGCCAGCACCATCAAGACGTGCTGCGGCGTGCTCTCGATCCTCTCGCGCACGGAAGACAAGAAGGCCGAGATCGCGTCGTCCGGCCTCCTCCTCATTCTCCAGGCCATGCACACGCACATGGGCAACGAAGAGCTGCTGGAGGCGGCGTGCGACCTCCTCTGGACGCTGGCCTTCAACAACCGCAGCGTCAAAGCGAGCATTTCTGCCCACGGCGGGATCCACACACTCTTGCGCTGCATCGACGCGCACAAGACCAACGCCGAGCTCCTTCGATCCGTCCTCGGTACGCTCTCGAATCTGTCCGAGCTGCCCGACAACCAGCACCACATTGGCATCGGTCTTCCCGTCATCCTCACGGCGCTGCAGATGCACACGCGGAACATCGACCTCGTCGCGTTCGCCTTCGATACGCTCGCCAGCATCGTCGTTGGCCACAAGAAGAACTGCCTCACGCTGCAACAAGCCGGCGCCATGGGCTTTATCCTCGACATCGTCGCCAAGCACCCATCGCGCCTCGACCTCGTCAAGTCGGGCTGTCATACGCTGGCCATCATGTGCGACCTCGCCGGTATGGGCGCCGCCATCGTGCAAGTCAAGGGTATCAAACCGCTTTTGACCTTGCTCGGACAGACGCCGCTGCCGCCCGACATTGAGCGCATCTTGACCGTGCTCATCTTTCGGATTTCCAAGGAGCCACCGGTGCTCGTCCAGCTCGTGCACGACGGGCTCATTGCAGTGCTGTTTCAAGGCATGGCCAGCGTCTACCGGTCGGCGCCACAGTCGCCCGAGACGCTCCTCGCCACGTGTCACATTCTGTGCCAGGTCACGCGGCATGCGAACGAGCATGCGATGGACTTGACGGCGTACTTGCCGCAGCCGCTTTGCTCGAGCGAGACGCTACTGCGCGTGGCGCTCCATCCCACGACGACGCCGTCCTTGGCTCTGGCGCTCTTTCGTATCGTGGTAAGCTTGCTCTTCTTAGTTTGCCAGTTTGACGACCGTTCTAGGCGAATATGGCCAAAAACCCAAAGGAATTGTCATCGTTTGTGACGATGGCGGCGATCGAGACCATGCTGAGCCTCTGTGCGACGCATGGCAACCCGCCCGAGATGCTGCACGTGACGGTTGAAGTGCTCTGCCGTCTCCGCCGGTCGACGCTCCAGTCGTACGCGCTCAAGACACCGGAGAAGACGCTCACCGCGCTCCTCGTGTGCATTCGGAGCTTCCCAGACGACATTGCGTTTCTGGACCAAGCGTTCGCCATTCTCATGGTCCACGTCACGTCCGAGGTTCGAGTCTCCCCGAATGCAACATCTCATTTCTGAGTACTAGCGGGCGTCGAGCGCGCGGACTGTCTTTGGGTTTATTGGCGCGGCCATGCGCTTTCTGAGTCGCTTCTCGACCGCCGATTGGTCGCCGCACCTTGTATGCATCTGTTGATTGAAGACAACTTGTCTGAGAAGTATTGTCTAGATGATCGAGGCGTGCAAGTTTCTCTTGCACACGATTACGACGAACGACGGCGTTGAAAGCATCGTGAGCTGCGGCGGCGTCGCGATCTTGAAGAAATTTCAACACGACGTCGCGAAGAAAGCCATGCCGCCCGAGCTCTGCGCGATTCTCCACGCGATTCTGCGTCGCGTGGACCCTACCAATAGCAGCCAGTACCGTAGCACACCGAGCTTGGTCGCGTCCGCATCGAGCAAGTCGGCGACGTTACTTCCGTCCCTCACGACACCGACGTGCGAGCCCGAACCGCCCAGTGCCGTTGCCAGTACGACGACGGACGACGACTGCATTTGCACGGCCCCGGTGCTCGCGACACCAACGAGCCGCGAGAACAACGACGACGACACGTTGCAAGACGACGACGTCAACGAGTGCGACGATATTTTGGACGACGACGAGAATGACGAGGATGACGAGGATGACGAGGACGACGAGGACGGCGACGACGGTCTCGAAGAAGCACCGATGCATGCTGTCTCCGTCGCATCGCTACCCGAGAGAGAGGGTACAGGCGATGCGGTACCGACAACCGCCGTATCGTCGCCCGAAGTCGCAGCCCCCACGGTCCACGTTGACCCAATCATCCACGAAATCGCGACCACGCACCCGTTTCCGCAGGACATTTTATCATCGCACCGGGTGCACTCAGCGGTGAAAGACGACGGCTTTTACTATGCGAGTCCATCGGGAAAGCAGCTCCCCAAGCACCCACAACGGCCCCTGCCGCAGAGCTACGACGATCCGGTGGGCCAAACCACGGCCGTCTTGTCACCAACGTGTCCATGGACGTTGGAGCCGGTCGCCTCGTCGTTTGTCGACGACATTGACCGTCAGCTCTACAGTGAAGCTCGCCGACAGGAGCGCATCGCGTTCCTCGACGAGCGACGCGGTAGCGTGGTGTACCAGAGCAGCTTTGCAGCCGGCGCAACCTCCCAGCACAGTCGCATTCCGAATGCATACCCGTACGAGCCCGTGCCGCCAATGACCGCGTTCGCTTCGTCCTTGACGTTCGAGTCGGAGTTTGCGAGCGGAAACCTCCTCCGCGCGATTCAAATTGGCGCGTTCGAGTACGACCTCGTTTTGCGCGCCGATTTGCACACGGTGGGGTACACGCAGTGGTTTTACTTTGCGGTTAGCAACGTCGAGGCCAATGTGCCATACCGCCTCCACATTCTCAACCTCTACAAGCCCGACAGTCTCTTCAACGACGGCCTGCAGCCGGTCGTCTACTCGCTCCACGACGCTGCGACTCTCGGCATGGGCTGGCGACGCCGCGGCACAAACGTGTGCTACTACAGCAACCCGTGGCCGCTGCCACGCAAGCCGTCTTCGGTCGAGGACCCGGCGACACAGTACCACACGCTTACGTTCACACTCGAGTTTCCGCAGACGCACGATACGTACCTCGTGGCCCATAGCTACCCGTACACGATGGCCGACCACGCATGGCACCTGCGCCAGCCGCAGTTTCGTTTCCCGAGTGTCGTCCGGCACTCGGTGCTGTGTCAAACGCAGGGCAAGCTCGACTGCGACCTGCTTCGGATCACCGACTTTAGCTACCCGAGCGACGAGCGCCTCGATGTCGTGCTCACTGCGCGGGTGCATCCTGGCGAGCCGCAAGCGAGCTGGGTCATGCGCGGAACCCTCGATTTTCTCGTCTCGGACGCGGTCGAAGCCAAGCTCCTTCGGCGCCTCTTTGTGTTTCACGTACAACTGCGAAATCTGTGACGGTGGCATCTCACATTGGCATAGGTCATTCCAGTACTCAATCCGGACGGCGTCTACTATGGCAACAACCGATGTGGGCTCTCGGCGTGCGACCTCAATCGGCAGTGGAAGTCGCCCAACGCGACCGACCACCCGACGATCTTTCATGCGAAAGCGCTCATCGAGTCGCTCTCGGTCGTCTTTTACTGTGACTTTCACGGCCATTCGCGCAAAATGAACGTCTTCATGTACGGCTGCGACTCGAAGAAGCATCCGAATCCGATCGCGCGGTACTTTCCGCGGCTCTTGGCCAACAGCGCGCACCGCTATGTCTCGCACGAGGCGTGCAGCTTTCAAGTCAACCGCGGGCGCGAAGCTACAGCGCGTGTCGTTGTCGGGCGCGACCTCGGTGTCGCCAACAGCTTCACCCTCGAGGCTTCCTTCTGCGGCGCCGACTTTGGCGTTTTATCCCAGATGCACTTTAACATTCGTCACCTCTTGGATCTCGGGCTCCTAGTGGGCCAATCGCTCTTGGAGTTTGCCGTGCCGGCGCCGATGGACCGGTCGCCGCTGCTCGAGTGGGTGCAGCAAGCATCGACGCCGCACCCGTCCCTCTACGCCTACATCGCATCCCAGTACGCCCACAAAGACGTTCTATGGAGCACGATGCCACTGCATTTGACGCGTTCCAAAGGCAAGAAATCGCTCAAAAAAACAAAGTCGGTCAAGGGCAAGAAGGCCACCAAGCTGCGACCCCACGCCAGTGTGCTACCGACACCCGTCCCGCCCATCGTTTGCAGTGTCGCGACCAAGCGAAAAGAGTCGATCAAAGTCAAAGCCAAACCGCCACTGCTGCCCAAACCCAGCGAGAGCCTCAAGAAGGAGCTCAAATTACTCAAGCACGCAACGATGCCACTCCCGCTCAAGAAAGACGGGAAACTTCGCAGCCGCTCCGATACGCCTATACCGCGGCCCACCAAGGTCGCCGAGACAAGTGCCTGTGACAACAACCACAGCGAGCCACTCGGACGGGTGCTCAAGAAGGCCCCAACGGTGCCCCCGCGCAGTGTAGGCCTTGGGTTCCGACGTCTCGCGCTGCCGACGACGACGACAGGGTACTCCAAATGTCCTCTTTGTCTTCTTGTGCTAATGTCCACTTTTTAGATGTACGCCTGAAGACGACGACTTGCGGCGATCACGACGTGTGAGCTTCCCGACCGTAACCAAGTAGTAAAGGAAACATTGGTGTTTCGACGCATGTATTGATTGATCTTACGCATGACAGGATGCAAGACGGAGTTGTCTTACGCCGGCAAGAGGGCGTGGGCGCGGGCGAGGCTCGCGTCGAGGTCGGCTTCCATCGCCACGAGACGCTGGCGGCGGGCCTCGTGGTCCGCCGTGGCCAATGCGTGGAGTCCGGCAAACTCGTCGCGTAGCTGGTCGGTGAGGGACGGGACGCTGAGTTTCTTGGACTTGCGGAGCTTCCGCGCCGTCTGCGCGGCTGCATAGAGCAGCACCGACGCTATTCAACTGTACTATGCAGTTGCTGTGCAGTGATACTGCGAGGAATATACCGGCGTTGGCGACAGCGACGGGCGTGGCCTCGCGGCGGCGGCACTGGTAGTGGTTCCAAGCCGCCTGGATAAGCCGCGCGGCGGCCAGGCTCGTTGCCTTGGCTTCCTTTTCATTGCTGAGGAGGTTGAAGACGTTGCGGTCGCGCTCCGTAAGGTCCAGAAGCGCGAAGAACGACGCGCTCTACAGCCTCCAATTTTGGACCAAGTATAATGCGAGACATGGAACCTACAAGAATGCCCGCGAAGAGAATACCCGTGGCCATCGCGCCCAGCACCATGAGCACTTGGCCGGGAATTGTCATCGGCACGCGATCGCCGTATCCGACGGTCGCCATCGTCACGACGGTGAGCCACATGGCGTTCGAGTACGTCGACACGGCGGGGTTGACAGGCGCCTCGAGGATGACGAGCGCGGCCGAGACCGTGAGGAGCGTCGCCGTAAAGCCCACTACGAGCAGCGGAAACGGGCGCGTCCGAAGCATGTACTTGATCGAGAAGAGGACGCCGAGCGCATCGACGTTGTTCAAGCTCCCGACGAACGCGATGCGGGAGCTAACAAAACATCGTCAGCCTATGAAAGAGAGCGTTCACAGTACTACCTGTAAAAGTCGGAGAGGTTGCGGATGAACCGTGGCACCATGTACATGCGCAGAAACACAAAGAGCCCGAGCACTTGGTAGCTACTCCGAGCGATGAGCGACAATATAGGACAACGTTTGACGATAGTTGACGTCGTCGTACTCGTAGTCGAAGACAAAGTAGCAGCCGTCGCCGCTGTGTGTGCCGCCAAAGGGGCACGGCGGCCCGTGGCTGGCCGGCGCCATGATCCACTGCCACATGGTGAACGTGCCCTCAAAGCCGGGCGGGAGAAAGATGCTGCAGACAACGAATTCGACGGCAAACGAGAGCACGAGCGACGCCGGCAGCTCATAGAGGCGCACGTTGGGCGGCGAAATGCCCTTGCCCACGTAGATCTCCCGCTGGATGGAATAGCGCGAGACGAGCAGCACAAGCAAGAGCGCCGTCAGGAGCGCATTGACGTACCGGATCCAGCCCGCGTCCGTCAAGCACTCGATGAGGACGAGGCCGAGGCTCGCGCACGAGAGGCCAAACATGCGGTTCTCGGCCACGCGCCGGCGCTCGTAGTCCAAGCTGAGCTTGTGGATCGCGCGCACGTTGAGCATCGTCTTCTCAAACGAGGCACGGAAGGCCGCGTCGCCTTCGAGGCGCTCGGCGAGCTGCTGCGCGTACACGCGCTTCTTGCGCGCCCACATGTCGATGTCCACATCGATCGGATCCGCCGACTCCATCGCTCAACAACCGCCGACGCTCTGCTGGTGCCAACCGAAGTTCGAAGCTGTCGAAGACAACATCGAAGTCCCGAAACGGCGCCAACCGATGATTGCCTTGAACCCAACATACCGGCGAACCTGTGCCTGCCTTTCCAGGTTACCTGGTCGACGCCGCCCTTGGTATACCACACAAAGGACGCAGGCCGATGATGAACGCAGCCTTGAAACGTCCGTGTAGCCTGCAGTAGTAGCGTCATCCATGGACCGAGAAGCCGCAGTCACAAGCAGTGTTTGCGTCGTCCCAGTTCGCAGAGCTCTTTGCAGTTTGTTCTCGTCGAATGAGTATTACATTGGATGATTGATTGCTCGTATTCTGGCTGTCGTCCGATGCTCGTACCGGGTACATCTACATGTAGGTAGACTGGACAGCCGAGGCAACGCGAGTCGACGAGTTTGAAGACGTTGTACATGCCAACATCCGGCTCGAGCGATGGACAGCGACACGAGATTTGTATAAAGATGCCGTGCCTACTAACAGCAGTACCGGTATGGCAGTCGCTTGCAGAAGCGCTTGAAGGCGGTGGCACGCACCCGGGCGACCAACAGATGCAATGGCGGCACGCCCACGACGCCATGGTATCCTCTTATCCTCCAATCAGACGCACGATGGCACAGCATTTCAGCCAATCCACGACAGGATGCTGCGCCAGGTCAACGTCGCGATGCATTTTCAAACGCGACAAGCCATGGCCACGACGGCAGAGACGACGACGACGACGGAGCAGCAGCTCGCCAAGGTGGCGGCGTGCATTCCGATTGTGCCGTTCAAGGGCGTTGCGTTCTACGATATCGGCGGGCTCCTCGCGCACCCTGCCGAGTTTGCTTTGTGCATGGACCTGCTCGAAGCCTACTTGGCGCCACTCGCCGAGAAGTTTTCAGCGATTGGCTGCTTTGACGCGCGTGGCTTCCTCTTTGGCCCGCTCCTTGGCGTGCGCCTCCAGAAGAAGGTCTTTATGCTCCGGAAGGAAGGCAAGATGCCCCGCGTGGCCAACACGGTTACGTATGGAAAAGAGTACTCGGGCGACAATGGCCACGGCCTCGACTCGCTCTCGATCCAGGACGGCGCGGTCGCTCCTGGCGACGCTGTGATTCTCATTGACGATCTTATGGCCACGGGCGGCACGATGAATGCCGGTGTCGAGCTCGTCAAGCAGGCCGGCGGCTCGGTCCTCATGTGCATGTGCCTCATCGAGCTCGGCGCGCTCAAGGGCCGCGACGCAATCATCAAGAACCACCCCGACACACCGTTTTACACGCTCCTCTCGGAAGATTTGTGGCAGTAACTGAGACCGATAATCCTTTTCTGCACAATTGGTCTGGTATTGCCCCCGATGCGACGGAGTGCACGGTAAATGGTATTGGAGACGACGGCCCATCCAACGGCGTTGCCACACTGGAGTCAGATATCCTTCGGTTGATAACCGTCTGCGTTGTGTCTATTAACCAGAAGAGCCCTTTGGGCCTTGCTAGCCGTAACCGCTCGTAGCCAGCCAATGTCGGCAGTCGTGCCAACTCGAGGACCCGAGATCCCCAGCCATGCGCGCTTGACGTCACCTCGCCCGGTGTGGCTGTGGCTTGGTGGGAGCTCCGTCCTCCTCTCGCTTGGCTGTGGTCTCTATTACCTCTTGTTGCTTACACCCATCTTTGCCAACGACTTGTTTTGGCCGCAGTACAACGTTAGCGGTCACCAAGCTTTCTTGATCGACGCGGCAAACCGAGCGATTCAAAGCCACGTTGAGACCAAAATCGACATGTTGGCGCCGTCCACAACACAAAGCAATAGCTACAGCGCGTCAAGCACGGCTATCAACGTCCCACGGACGTATGCGCGGTCGCTCGCCCTCGGAAACCTCACGTCCATCGAGTATGGTATTGCCTCGCTTCGCCAGCTACCGCCCAACCGAGCACTCATGGTCTACGCGCACTACTGCTGGGTTGACTTTGCACAAGTGTTTGAGATTGCACATACGTCCAAACGGCAAACTCGGTGCGGCCAGCGCTACGCAAGAAACGCTGCCGCGTACTTTGAGTCGGTCTTGCGCAACGTCGACTACGCCGCTTTTCTAAGTGCCTTTGGCGGCCCCGGGAACCTCTTTACGATGGGACTCCAGACCGGTTTGGAAGAGTCCGCGTATGGCCGGCAGTGGCTCGCGACGACCGGGAGCGCGCTGGGTAGCACGACCATGGCAATGGAGGTCGCGTACTGGCGCCGACATGGTCTGACGTCGTTTGCGCTGCAGTGGCAAAACTCGTTCGACACGGGGGTCTCAGAAACGATCTGGCTCCGAAATGCCATTGGCATGACCCAAGCGATTACCGTAAAAAGCTTGCCGTTCGCAACCGCGAGCTGGACATCGATCAAGCTCTACTTTGCGTTTTACAACGACTGCTATTGCATGCAGATTTGCAATCAGAGCTTGATATTCAACACGACCAACGACTTTCGCACCGCGCCTCCCTGCGCGCTCTCGAGTACGGGCGATTTTGCAGGCCTCCTAGGACTCAACAACTTTGGCACCGACTACATCAACCAAACGGGTCTCGTCTACTATGAGGTTGGCCCGTTCCTCTCGATTGACGCCCTCTACATTGCAATCCCATCGGTGGTCTCGGCCGCGCACACTGCATTCCAAAAACATCTCTTTGAGCAACTGGAAGATTCGCACCACTGGAAGACGTTCCTCCAGCTGCCAACGCTCACTGTCAACCCGACGCCGCCGACGTGGCAAGGTCCTGGCATGCTCTACTACGGCGGCAACCTCCTCTGTTTGTATAGTGCACCGCAAACGTATGTGCAGACCATGTTTAGCTTTTACGACAACTGCGACCGCCAAGTCCCTGCCGAGCTCGAATTATCAGCTCCGAGCCTTTTGTTTGCCTTGGCCATGACACTTGCGGTAGCCCCGACGTGGAATGTATCGGCGATCTGCGCGCTCCAGACGTCAGCGTTCGACTGCACTGCTGTGCTGACCTCGGGCATCTCGCTTCTGAGCAAATTCTCGCCGATGGACACGGCGCTGCTACGAGCTGCCCACCAGTCTCTACTGACACTCAACCTGAGCCTCTTTCAGTTTGCGACCAACGGCAGTCAGTGGACTATTCTCACCGAAGCGCTCGTGAACCCTGCTTCGGCACACGTCTTTTTTGGCTACGGCTATGTCGCCGACTGGGTCATTGGATCGCGCGAGGCCGTCTCGTTCGAGGGCGACGCCAGCATCTTCCCGCTCATCTCGTCCGCGTACGCGCCGTATGCGATGAGCAGCGCGCAGTCTTCGCTCTCGACGGCGACGAGCCTCATCTTGTACTCGATCTACTACTCGAGCGCCGTGTTTGTGGGCGTGGCGCTGCTTTGTTTTGGCTACGGCCTCGTGCACTGGCGCCATCTCGACGGTGTCAACCTCTGGCACTTTCACCGGCTCGTCGGCGCGGTCTGGGTCGGTCGGTCCGTGTCGTTTCTGCGCGGAGGTACAGCGCTCTTGGTGTTGAGCTCGACGAACCTGCGTCTCGAGACGCGAGATGGCTACACACACTTTGTGGCGAGGCCGCGGTCGCTGCTCGAGACGCTGGTCGTGACGAGCGAGGCGACATGGGTGATGTACGTCTTGTGCGATGCAGTGCTGGTGCCGCTGGCGTCGGACGCGCTGCTGGCAGGGCCGCTTGGAAGTCTTCTTGTCTGGTCCGTCTTTGTCGTCCTGGACGTTTCGAATCCGGTCGAGATGCAGAGCCGCCTCGCGCGTTCATGCACGTCACGATGGCTCGACCGCTCGATCGAGTGCGAGAGCGGCGTCATTAGTACAGGATCGATGACGCGCCTTTGTGTTCTTGCTTCGATTCAATGCGCCGTCGTGTTGAGCCTTTGGTGCGTGGCGTGGCAACGCAAGCAACGGCAAAGGCCGTTGCGACCAGTGTCTGTCGTCGGAGTCGCAGAGCGTCTCGTCTTGGCGCAACCGTTGCTGGGTACCTGGGCAATGGACCCCGTGACATGTGTCATGAGTGGACTCATCCCTCTGACGCATCGCGCATCCTCCTTTACCTTTAACGTGGTGCTGGGCACTTTGGACCGAGATGTCGTGAGCTCGAGGCCCAAGCCGGAAGATGTGTCCACCTTGACGCCGACGCGGTGGCGACGCCGCCTGCGTCATCTTTTGGTGCTTTGCGGTGCTCTGTATATGGTGCTCTCGATTGTTGGCAGTGTCTCGTACCTCAGTGTGTCGCGATCGTACCTGGGCAACGACCTCGTGTGGTCGGGCTTTAACATGACGGGCGCCCACGCATTCTTAGCCACGTACTTCGTGCACTCGACGGTGCTCTCGACAGCGTCCCCAAGCCTACTCTCTTCCGACGTCAACCTCTTTGGCGCCTACGGCGCCACCTCCAGAGGCATCGATGCCCCATACAATTACGGCGCCATGCTCCAGATTGCACTTTCCAAGTCGCTCGAAACGGCGGTTTCCGGTCTACGCCAAACGGACGGCTGTCATGCGCCGTGGCTGGCGACGGCCTACTGCTACGTCGATTTAAACATGCAATGGGAACTCGCCAATACACGACGCCGCCAGCAACGGTGCGCCGCCTCCATGACCACCAACGGCGCCGTCTACCTCGAGACGGTCCTTCGCAATGTCCCGTCAAATGGCTGGCCCGCCTGCTGGGGGGCCTCATTCGACCTCGCAATTGGCGCTACGTTGAACAAGACCAACGCTGGACGCCACTGGCTTGCTTCGACAACCTCAAACGATCGGGCGACCTTGGATATTTCTGATGAAGTGGCCCACTGGCGTGCCCACGCCATCTCGTCGTTCGAGATGCAGTGGCAAAACTACAAGCACATTGGACTGCTCCAGACGTACACTGTCACGAGCGCCTTTGGCAGCGTGTATCCCTTTACGATCCAAGCGACCAACGGCAGCTTTCGCTTTCCGCTGCAAACGTCGTTCAAGATGTACTGGGGCTTTGGAAGCGACCTGACGATGGTGCTTTACAACCAAACGTATGCACTCCCGGGTACATCGCTTGTCCGAGGCTCTGCTGCGTATGCCTATCAGAACGTCTCGTCGCTCGAGGCCATGCTCTTTCTCAACGGAACGCTCACAGCGCCGCTGGACGAAGGGTTGGCTCTGGTGCGCAGCGCTCTGGGTCCGTTCGGGTCCATGGACTTGCAGTACGTGGCGATGCCAGCGTCCGTGCAGGCGCTGCTTCGATCGACATTTCTCTCCATCGCAACGGCCCGTGTCGCGTCGGAAGAATCGCGACGCTCGTTTGAAGCCCTCGCCGCCACAATGGGGTATGTTGTGTCGCCCGTCCCGTCGACGTGGCGAACCACCGGCTTTTTGGGGCTGGGGGGGTCCCCTCTCTGCCAAGCGATTCTTCGCAACAATGCGTCGCCTGCGAGCGGCGGCTTTCTCTCTTTGTTTCTGTTTTACGGCCAGTGCCACACGAGTGGCATCGCGGCGCTGCTGCAGCCCACGACCGATCACGTGCTGATCGCTGCGCTTTTGGCGCCGCCGACCAACGCCACCGACATGTGCGCCGTTGACGTGCAGAACGCGGCCCTCTGCATGCTGTCAGCGGCTGCAACGACAAGCTTTGTAGCGCGCGCCCGCCTGGCGCCTGTGCCCGCCGACCTGGTCGCGACTGCAACGGCTGCGTTGGCGGCGCTGGAGATCCGCCTTTTCCAGCTGGGCGCCACTACACGGACATCACCAATGGCACTTTACACGTACGACCTTTTCGACGCAAAGGATCCCGTCTACCACTACTATGCGTGGATCTACATGTACGACTGGCTCCTCGGCAAGCGTGAAGTCGTTCGGTTCACGGGGGACCACGGGACGCTCACCTTGCTCTCGGACCAAACTGTGTTTACGAGCAAAATAATTGCACCGAGCGAGTTCCCGACCAACTACGCAACGTACGCCCAAGCCGCCAACGATTACGTCACCTTTGTCGGCATTGGCCTTGCGGGGTGTACGTGGATGTACATTGCCATTAGCCGCGGCCGCGTCGAAGGTCGCAACATGCTGTCGCTGCACAGCGTCGGCAGCGTCGTCTGGATTGGTCGACCGCTCCTGCTCCTTCGCAGTCTCACGGCCATCTCGATTCTCTCGACCGCGACGCTCCGACTCACGTCCCTCGGGCCGTTTGCTGTGTTTGTCTCGGACACGCCGCCGTGGTACACGACGATCCTCGCCGCCAGCGAGGTCACGTGGCTCGGTGCGATCGTTGTCGACATCGGCCTTCCGCTCACGCGCGAGTTGACGCGGCACTTTACGCTTCTCAACAACCTCCTCGTGTGGACTATCGCAGCAGCGCTGAGCTTTACGTCGCCCAACACACACACGCTGCGCCACCCCGAGCCAGCCTGCGACCTCGCCCAAGTCGACTGGCAGGTCGTGTGCGTCGCCGGAGACATTGCAATCGGTCATCGCTCTCGCCTCCTTCTTCTGATTGCGGTCGTCGTCGCATCACATCTGATGTGCTTTCTGGTCGCACGCATCTGGCTCCGGCAGTCCAGATTGAGCAGAGTCCACTCGCACTTTTTATCATCGGGTGCGATCTTCCTCTTCGCCCATACGCACTGGCAGCGACACGGTGTGCTGTACATGGACCGCGCCTCCGCCGTCTTTACCGGGCTCCTCTCGCTGCGGTTCCGCGGGCGGCTCTGGGTCTTTGACGTCAAGACGTGGCGGGTGTTTCATCTACCGTCAGCAGCAGAAACAGAGAGCGACGCCGCGATAGCGACAGCACTGCCGTTAAAGGATGTCGTCGTGTAGATCCTAGTAGTAGTAGGAAGGACATCTGAATTGTATATAAGTATAGGCAGCGAACTGCTCACTCTTCTTTGGAGATGCTCGTTGTATGCAGGTACGTTCATTTCGGCCAAATCGATGACCAAGGCGCGGAGCTGCGTGGGCGTGCGGTTTTGGAAGCAGCGCATTGTAGACGACGCGCTAAAGACTGTTCTTGTCCGTTCTCAAGCCTAGCGTTGCAGAGCATGCGCTGGAGGTCGTCTTTGCCACGTACCGGTAGCAACACGGACGCTTTTTTATCAATCAATCACTCAATCACTCATTTAGTCAGTCGGTGAATCAGTCAGTGAATCAATCATAAAATCTATCAGTGAACCAATCAGTTAGTCAGTTAGCTACTCAGTCAATCAAACGTGTTCGCGTTGAAATCAAATGAGCAAAAACGAACTCCAAGACTTCGCAATCGTAGTGCTACGCCTGAATGCGTGGGAGTTGGCACCAGCACTCGGTCGTTGCGAGTGAGCTGCACTTTTTCATGCATGCGGAATGCCATGGTCCCAACGATGTTGGCGTGCGATGATATAGAGTAAAAGGAGCTCAAGCCATGACGCCACAATCACCACAAAGGCTCTCATAAGCAACGATTTACTACTTGTGTCGGCGGCGTCGGTGCGTCGGTGCCGGTGTCTCAACGCTCGTGTCGGGCGACGACGACGACTCGGTGCTCGTAGCGCGCTTGTACGTACTCGAGCACTGCCGCTGTGGCCGCTTCGCTTTTGGCGATACGGCGGGCGGGTCGACGTGGCAAAAATCTCCCGCCAGAGCGCGGACATGCGCGACCGCGCTGGCTTGCAACGTATCGAGCACGAGCCCTTTCGAGGACCGTTTTTCTTTGCGTCCGTAGCCGCCTTCGAGGACACTGACGAGGCGTCCGTTGCAGCAGAGGTTGGCGACGTGAAGGAGCTGCTTGGTGGCCCAGTAAAACTCATCCGGTCGCAAATCCAGGCCAACGGGACCGTCACGCTGGCCGTGCTGTTTGTTGCCAATGTCTCCGTGGCACCCATCAAAGCCCGCCGAGAGAAGCACGAGGTCGGGCGAGAACGCACGCAGGAGTGGCACCACGACGCGCTCCAGCTCGTGGCGGAACGCGTGGACGCCCTTCTCGACGCTGCTCGACCAGCACGGCGGCAGTGCGACGTTGTAGACGTTGGTCGAGAGGTCGTGCAGGTCGCCGCTGCCCGGGTAAAAGCCATCGCCGTAGCAATGCAGCGAGACAAAAAGGACGTTCTCCGGTTGATGCCGCGCGCGGACAATGTCTTCCGTGCCATTTCCGTGGTGCGCATCGAAGTCGACGACCGCAACCCGGTGTACCGTCGACGGATACGTGTCGAGTGCATATTGCGCGCCGACCATGACGTTGTTGATGATGCAGAAACCGCACGAGACTGCGTCGCGCAAGAGACCGCTCGCGCCCGCGTGGTGCCCCGGTGGACGCACGATACAGAACGCATTGCGTGCGTCCCCACGTACGACGCGATCGATCGCGGCGCAGACGCTGCCCGCCGCCCGCAGCGCGGCCCGGAGCGTGCCCCGGCTAAAGTTGGTGTCGCAAATCTCGGCGTTCTTGGCTTGCGCGAGGAGGGTGCCTTGGACCTCGACTTGGAGGCGCGGTGTGAGCACCATGAGGCCGTCGTGGGAGACCGACTGGACCTACAAGAAGAAAGTCCGTTCTGGTCGTGACAGGTAGTGTTGTTGCGGTACCTGCGCATGCAGCCGCTTAAGCGTGTCAATATACTTGGCCGAATGCACGCGTCGAAGCGCGGCAAACGACGCCATCGGAAAGGCGGACGTGAGCTCCACGCGCGGGGAGACGAGCGACGCTATGTGTTATTGCTGATGCTTCGGCTCTGGCGTGCTACGTACGTTGGGTCGAGATCGCGTCCAAGATGGCCGTCACGCGGTCCGGCGACTCTTGGTGGCCAGCTGTTGTCACGTGCTCGAGGCAGTCGGGGTGATGGAGTAGGAGCGTCCGCAATGGCGGGTGCAGCGTGGCCATAAACCGCTGCGTCTCGATCCTCGTCGACTCGCAGACGACCTCCTACGCAGTCCATGGCACGGCTTGGATTTGAGCGTCCGTCGGAAAGAAAGGTAAATAAACTACGTTTTGGATGCCGGCGACATCATACGGCTGCTCGAGTGCTCGGTTGCACGATTGGAGGGACCCTCCGTGCGCCATGAGGACGCTACCACACGAGGTTGAGTTCGTTGGACATCTCGTCCGTAGCTACACCTAAGCACGTTGTGCTGGCCAAAGCGAGCAGCGCGATGCAGCGGCGTCTCGCCATCGCGGTGGCTCGGGTCGTTGACGTCGATATTCCCAGTGAGGAGGACGCTAACGAGCGGTGCGTTGCCAACGGCGGCGGCCCAGTGCAATGGCGTATACCCCAGCGGATCGCTCAGTGCAGGTGATGCACCATGGTCCAAGAGCACCTACGAGGTGGACCACGTCGAGTCCGACGCCGTGTCTTTCAAGATACCTGGGCGAGGCGCGTTGCGACTTCAAACTGAGCTGGCGGCATCTTGGCAAGCAGACAGAGACCCGTGGCGCCGTCGTCCGAGTACTGGTTGATGCCATCCTTCTCTTCATCCGCAGCATGGTCCGCGACCCAAGCCGCGACGCCAGCTGCATCCAAGGCCGCGCAGCTCGTGTGCAGCTCTACATGACCGCAAACGTGGGTGCCGATGCAGGCATAGCATATTACGCGTGGTGGCAAACTCGTGCGAGCGCGGCTCGATCGCGATGTTTTGCACGGTGGCACCGGCGTCGGCTTGGAGCAGCTCCTCGAGCCGCGCCTCGCTGCCAGGATGAATGACGACGCTTGGCCCTGCGCTGCTGGAGAAGGAGACGCGCCGCTTGAGCTGGTCTCGCTGGTGGCGAAGCGCCGGTGGCGGTAGCACCGGCCGATCCTCGACGTCTCCGATCGCGTCGCTCGTTGGCATCGCAAATCAAGCCCGAAACTGGAACCGCGTCTGCCGATTTGTATGGGATACAAGCGCCAAGTCCAACGGCACTTGGTGTCGTTTGGGCCTCGGCTAGTTCCACACCACCTAACAGGAAACCACGACGCCAGTCTAATAATCTTGTTTTTCAACACGACAAATTCTGTCTACGTCCGAGCACGAAGTTTGCATGGGTTGATTGGAGTGGCCTTCTTGAAGAGACACGTGGAGTGCACAGTAGTAAAGCCGTTGCTTGGTAGTACGTAATAGACTAGAGTTTTGTTGGTCAAGTCGGCGAGACGGTAAGAAACTACTCACCTTACCGACGCCGTAGTGATTAGGACAGGTAGGTCGTTCAAAAAGAAGTGCCTGTATACAGTCCAGCCAACTACAGCGCACTTTACATCGGTGGTTGACATTTGAACGCATGGACGCTCGCCTAGCAGCTCGGTCATAGTCCGCGTGGAGAGCAGCCAATTTTACACCAACACAGCTCGCCACCACCAAGTCATTGGGGTCGGCGACGTGGTGCATCTTCGTGTTTGAAATGCGTTGTAGAGCTGCATTGTAAGCTCATCTCCGTAGCTCTGGTGACTGCTGAGATAACAGAGACTCGTACAAATACGGTTTGCAATTGTTGTGGCATGGGACTCGGCTTCGATCCACTTCAAAATTGGGTGTGCCTAGCCTTACGACCAGTTGGTTTTTTGGCTCGGAGAAAAAACCATGGCCGACGACGCCACGGACCCACGCCCACCGCCGGCGCCGATCGCCGTCGCCGCGCTCCACATCGACACGCAAGCCATCGAGGCAGAGTCGCTGGAAGCTCCGCTGGCGGTGTCCCCGACGTACGGTGTTGCGCGCAACCAAGTCGATCCTGCGGTCCTGGCCGCGCTGCCCAAAGAGATCCAAGACGAGGTCCTCGCTAGCTTCTCGGTGCCAGCCTCGCCGTCGGCTGCCGCTCCTGTTGACCCGAGCGAAGCCGCGTGGACGTGCCCCATGTGCACCTTCCTCAACCACGCGGCCTTGGTATCGTGCGAGATGTGCGAGTTCTCGGTCGCGCACCTCCTGGACGCCGACGACGATGCGCCATCGCCATCATCGCCGCATCTACTCTCGGGGGACGCTTCTCCAT